CAATGTTACTACGTCCAGAAGAAGTCTTGAGATCAATGAAACAAACGGAGGACTCGCCATCAAACGGCAGCGAAACGAAACGCCGGTTCAAGCGGCTCGGTTTCATTTTCCGTGGTAAAGAACGGAACCAGAAGAAAGTTACATCAGAAACTGAACAGAAAAGCACCGAACCAAGCCCGCGCCAATCCTTCTCTAGTCTCTTTGATGGCAAGTCGTCTCTGTTTGCAAAAAGACCTCCTAGACCTGACAATGGGACTCTTGTCTGAATCCTTCTTTATTTATTTAATTTTATTTGGTGCCTGTCATCTGGTTTCGAGTCATTTCTCAATAGTTTTTTTTTTTGTTTTTTCTGGGTTCTTAGGCTTGATCAATTGGTTGGTAATTGTAAATTTTATATCATTTTAAACATTTCTCAGGGAGAAATTAAATTTGATGAAATCGAAAATGAATAAGATGTGAAAGTGAGAAAGCTTTTATAGCCTTTTGTAAAACGTCTTTCTGTGTTTCAAAGTATCTGTTGCAGTAATAAGCTTCTAAAATGACGAGCGTTTTGACCATTTGATGAACAATTTGTTTGGTTAATATGGGCTAATAGGTCCATGGGCCGTTTGTTTTGTTGAAACGGTGGCATTTTCGAGCTTTCTTTCTGTTCATACTTCATATCACTGAATCGAAATATTCATTATATGTTCATATATTCGTTTAATCAAAAAAAGGAAAAGAAAAAAACACGTGTACAATCCTCTGAATTTGCAATATTCTTGTGACTTGCTCAAAGCTCAGAAAAGTCATTCAATTCTCCAAACCCTAACTTTCTCATTCGGCGCTTAAGGTTCTCTCTAGCTCCTTGGTTCGATTTCAATCTCTCTTGTTCTTGATTCGTTTTTTTTTTGCCTTTTCGTGTTTTTGCTTGATCATTGGTAACGGAAAAAAATCACCAATCTGAGCAGTTTTTGGTTTTACAAGTTCACAAATGGCTTTTGGCTTGATTTGGGGTTATCTGATTTTTTGAAAGTATTCTCTAGAATGAACAAAAAATTCCCATTTCGTTTTTTTCCATTTGGCCGATGATTTTTGTTTTTTGTTTGCTTGTTACGAGTGTTGAATCTCACCGACATCTATTGATTGCTTTGTATAAAACTAATACAGAGATTCGGTGCGATGATGTTGCGTGCTGTTATAAGGAGAGCTTCCAGTAGAGGCTTTTCTGCTTCGGTTAGTCTTCTATTTTCGGTTTAGATTCGTCGCTATTTTGATTAGATCTCTTCCGAATATGATTGTTTTGATTCATTCTCTCTTTCAGGGATTGGGAAAATCGCTGCAATCTACTCGTGTCGCTGCGTCTGCGCAAAGCTTTCACTCTGTTTCAGCAACAGAGGTACATTTCAGTTGATTCATATCTTATTCATGAACTCAGAATTTCTTAACAAGATGTAGAATTTGTTGATCCTTTATGTTTCTGTGTCACTTGAAATTGTACAGTCGCTTGTGCCTCGTGGAAACCATGCTCGTGGCTTCCATCATCGTTCTTGTCCAGGTATATAATATTACTAATCTTGTTGTTGTGAATTTTGTTTTCTTCTAGTTTTAGACTCTTTTGTTTAATGATGATTGTTGTTCTCTTATTTGTATCATTTTGCAGGGTGTTCAGAGTGCTCAAGGTTACGAATCTCAGTGTTTTTTGTTTGTTCATGTATATAGGCTATATACGACTCAAATCTCCCACAGTTTTCGTTGAAAATCTTATTTCCATGTGTGTAGGACTGTTTTCAGCAGTCACCAAGGCACAGCCCTGCAAAGATGGGTCAGGCCTTTCTCATCTGATAGTGGTATGATTACTCTGACTGAACATATTCCTTTTACTTCAAGTTATTACGTTTGTCTCCCATGTTATGGCACCCACAGTGGCTTAGTCAAGTGACCCTTACTATGTGCACCACCAATACTTGTGTAGATGATGCATCTCATTGAACCTAAGTTATTCATTTCATTTCTGATTCAGGCTTTTATGAAACGTGTGGCTCAACTGGGTTTTGCTGTCTGCTGTTACCTTAACTTGTATTTTTAGGCTTTTTGACACGCTTTCTTGTATATGTCTTTAAAGGGGATATCGTGGAAGCTGTTGTGCCTCACATGGGTGAATCAATCACTGATGGAACCCTAGCCAACTTTCTGAAGAGTAAGTTTTTCTTTGCATTAGCTTGTTGTCTGTTTCTTTCCGGTGCTTGTATGTATCTAACATTTCTGTTGTTGGTGCTTCTAATTTTGTTCATGTAGAACCTGGTGACAGAGTAGAGGCTGATGAGGCTATTGCACAAATTGAAACTGACAAGGTATCAATTAATTCCTTGATTCATTTTCTCCATATCTCTTTTATTTTTCCCAACAGATGTTTGGCAGGCTAATGGTGTAACTTTTCTAATACTAGTGTTTGATTCATCTCTGTGGCTGTAGGTGACAATAGATATTGCTAGCCCAGCAAGTGGTGTGATCCAAGAGGTAAAATATTTGTTTCGTTCATTGTTCATATGGTACTTCTCCTGTGTACCTATGCCTAAGCGCTTTTTCCCTTTATGCAGTTTCTAGTCAAGGAAGGAGACACTGTAGAACCGGGAAACAAGATAGCTATTATTTCAAAGTCTGCAGATGCTGTGTCTCATGTTGCACCCTCAGAAAAGATACCAGAGAAACCTGCTGCCAAGCCTTCTCCTCCTGCTGAGAAGCCCAAAGCTGAAACTACTAAAGTTGCGGAGAAACCCAAGGCATCATCACCGCCACCGCCGCCTAGACAGTCAGCTAAAGAACCGCAGCTTCCTCCTAAGGATAGGGAAAGACGGGTATGCAAACTGTTTCATTTATTCTGTACTTACATATAATGTGTATTTTCGTTTTCTCTGTGAGAAAAGTGCTATTTACGTTCACGTGATTTGATCATATGGCATGTTAACAACATTGCAGGTTCCTATGACAAGACTTCGCAAACGTGTGGCAACTAGGCTGAAAGACTCTCAAAACACGTTTGCATTGCTTACAACTTTCAATGAAGTTGATATGTGAGTTACAGCTAAAACCCCTATGTTGATGTCTTTTATCAATATGAATTTCTCTTTGTGCACTTATGAAGTTATGATTACCCAACTGTCGTCGGTTCTGCAACATACTTTGCTTTTCTCACGTAGGACTAATCTGATGAAGCTCCGATCTCAATACAAGGATGCATTTTTCGAGAAGCACGGAGTGAAGCTAGGGCTTATGTCTGGTTTCATTAAAGTACGTTTGAAAAACTTAACAAAGTTTCCTGAACTCATTAACATATCGAATCCCTACTTACATATTAATCTTCTTTTAACTGTTTGTTTCAGGCTGCTGTCAGTGCCCTTCAGGAACAACCAGTAGTGAATGCAGTTATCGATGGAGATGATATCATTTACAGAGACTACGTAGATATCAGTATCGCAGTTGGTACCTCTAAGGTTTGTTTCCGCGGTTCTCTGACTTATTATAATACCATCTTAGGCTTTTGAGATATTAGTGATTGATGATTATTTTATTTCTATTGACAGGGTCTTGTGGTTCCAGTCATCAGAGGTGCTGACAAAATGAACTTCGCTGACATAGAGAAAACGATAAACTCTCTTGCTAAAAAGGCTACGGAAGGAACCATATCAATCGACGAGATGGCTGGAGGATCATTCACAGTATCCAATGGTGGTGTCTATGGAAGTCTCATAAGCACTCCTATCATCAACCCTCCTCAGGTTCGGTTTGGATCCTCAATTGTATTATTAGAAACCAAATGAAGGGAACAGTTTGTTTCCCCCTTCACTAACTTCAAAACGAATCTGTCATGTGTAGTCTGCTATTCTTGGAATGCATTCGATAGTGCAACGTCCCATGGTTGTGGGAGGAAACGTGGTACCGAGGCCAATGATGTATGTCGCGCTGACGTATGATCATAGGCTGATTGATGGAAGAGAGGCTGTGTATTTCTTGCGCCGTATTAAGGATGTTGTGGAAGATCCTCAGAGGCTTCTTCTCGACATATGAAAGATTCAAGAAAAAATTCGAGACGTAAGAGATCATGATTCTCTCGTCTTTTTTTTTTTTTTTTTTTTTACCAGTTTCCGTTATGGTAACCATTACATATATTGCAAATCTGCAAATGATACTTTGAAGAAGAAGAAAGAAAACAAAACTTTTCTTTGGAGTTTTCTTGATGATTTCAAAGAGTTTTTGCCGGGCGGGGAAAGCGTCGGTGTATTGAGTTTTTTTTCTCTCTTTTAAATTATACAGTTTAAACAAAATGTTACGATTTTGACTTAAAAATAATGCCACTGATTTTTATTTGGTAAAAGGTTTTCATTTCCATAGAGATTGCTCATGATGTGTGATTCATAGGATGTAAAATGGAACTAATGAATTACAAAATGACAGAGAGCACAAGCCGTTAATATTTATACTACGATATTTCGTTAAACCAAACACCGAGAACAGTTCTTTGGAGTCTTGCGTGTAAGCCAGTTACATACTTACACGACATCTATAAAGAATATCAACAAATACGTTGAAAGAAAATTTGTCATTCTCTTTTGGAAGTATTACTTTTGTTCATATAATATGTTGAAATGGACCGTAACAAACAACAACAACAACAACAAAATAAGTTGAAATGGATAAGGGTTTAGGGTCTACAAGGCCGGTCCATGAAATTGATGGGGCTTGAAACAATTTCGGTTTGAAATTGAGACATGTGTGCATGAATTGATTAGATGGAAAATATAGAGTGAACTTTGAGTCCCATAGGAAAGTCTGAGCAAACCAACGATTTATTTATTAATTTTACGCATATTGTTCATCGAACAGATATAGATAAAACGTGCGATCAGAGGAAATAGGCTTCCGTTAAGATCTACTACAAGATTATTTATATAACTACATAGATAGATAGATAGATAGATAATAAGTATTAAGATGGATGCTAGAGCAATGTTGAGTGTAGCTTAGGCAATGTTGAAAGTGAAGTCATGGTGTTTCCATGCGCCATCCTCCAAATACCTCTCATAGAAATTTACTTCCATAATGGGTTTCACGGTCAGTGCTGTTGTACTCGTTGTTCGATAGCGTCTTTCTTCTCTGTACCTCTCAGGATTGGTTACGTTTCTTACTTTCATGTCGACAAAAAATGCACTCAGTTTGTTCCCTTCCGTATTTTCCACTGGATCGTACATAAACTTGGCAGAAATCTCCTTAAGCGGTGGTACCTCTTTGTCTTCGTAATCACCAATCATCTCAGTAAAAAGCCTTTTCATACGTAAATCCTGAATAATTCATTTACACCAAAACGTCACTAGCTACGAACAGTCCTGACCCAATGAATTTTAAAGTTTTTAGGCAAAAAAAATTTTTGGGCTCTTTAATATCAAAAATCGAAATTTTGGACCCTTTAATATTTAAAAATCTAAATTTTTTAGATCCTTTTCTAATGATTTTGTCAATAAAAAAAATAATTTAAATAAAAAATATATTTTATTAGATCAATATTTTCGAAAATGAACTCTTAAATATACAATATTGTCTGAAATTTGGTTTGGGCCTCTGGGCGGGTGCATCTCTGTCACCCTTTTTAGACCGGGCCTGGCTACAAAAAGATTTAACAAATGGAATTTCCAAAACAATTATGTAACAATTTTACCTGGGAGAAATTGGCATCGAGTCTGCCAAGGGAAAGAACATGCACACCGAAGCCAACAGCCGCTGTAGCAACTGGCGACCTTGCATCAGCATGCTGTCTCGAGATATGAAACATGGAGTTTAAAGTTATGTCTGCCACAATTAGGTTATAGGCCATCGTCTCGGCGTTAAGCATATTCCCTTGAGCTAGCTGCCTTGCAAATTCCTCTGGACTCATGTCGAGCTGTAAGAAAACCAAACGGTCCACATATATATATATATATATATATATATATCCAATAGCTTAAACAGACAAACAAAAATGAAAAGATCGAAGGTTAAAATCATCAAACCTGCAAGAAACACATAGGCAACGACGACGAGCAGTTGGTCGAAACGGAAAAGAGCATTCTGTCGACAAGAAAAGCAACTCGACCTCTTCTAGAGATACCAAACCATGTCCCTCCGTCCGGTTCAAGCCGTCCACTCAATATCTGGTTATCTCCATCCCAAGCCGCCCCATTTATCGTCCTTTTTTTTTTCTAATAACTCCAATATAAACCAACCAAGCAATGCAATATTGATGCAAAGAAAATAATATAATTAAAACAAACTTGCCAGGAATCGAAATTGTCCCTGTTTTGCAGCAGCGTCAGCTTCTTGTTGCCCCATTCGAATGCGGCTATCCCCATTTTCTTTCTTTCTTTTTTTGCTATTTGAATCTCTCTTCTGATGTTTGTTGTGTTTAAGAGTCGTGACTCGTGAACCTCTCTGTTTATATAGTCGCCTTCTCTGCTCTGCCTCAACTGTCCCATGCGCTTTAAGGGACGGATTTTACCAGTTATGGTCTACCTTTTGTTGTTCCATGTCATTTTATCACACTGCGAATATTCTCCTCGATTGAGTAATGATGATTCATGTGCATGTGAAATACTCTAGAGACGTTTGTACTATTCTAAAAATATACATTGGTGGTTTCCATTGGCACACAAGTTTAAGACTCAAGAATCCGACGATTTGTTTTTCTCTGGTTAGTTTTGCTTGCTTGATTTGGGTGATTTGGAAAATAGAGCCCACTTGGATTTTGCTTTTACAATAAACGAGAGTTTACTATTTCTATAATAATTAATAAGACAAACATTGAAGATCAAATGTCACAACAACGCTAACACATGACTTGAGTTCCCACCGTAGCTAGTCATGGAAAACATAACTCAAGATCTAAAAAAAAAACAAATGAGGCATCAAGTCACTCAATTGTATATCTATCTTTCTTCTAATCTGTAGTGTAATTGTAAACTTATGAATTCTTTTTAGAACTATATTTTGTATTAACCCTCTCTGTTTATAGTTCAATTTCTGCTTTTCCTTTGCTTCTTCAACTGCCCCACGCGCTTAGGAGACAATTTTAGGTTTAGGTTTTGGTGTTTTGTGTCGTTATCACACGTTCACACTCTCTTACTATTCTCGATTAAGTAATGTTGATTCATGTGCATGTTGAAAACTTTAGAAACATTTGTACTATATTCTAAAAATATACAAGTGGTATCTAGTGGCGCACAAGATTAAGACTCGAATCCTATGATTCTTTGGTCTAGTCTAGCTTCTTCGGTGATCCGATTCTAGTGGCTAGGTAGGAGAGCCGTAAGTAGGGATCACTCCTATCATTACCGAACTCGAAAAACTCATGATGTATATATCCAATCTTAGTGAGTCATGATGTAGCAAAAACTCTTTTGAGTAATGATGGGGTCATGCACATGGGGATTGATACATGTACCATTACTTTTTTCTTTGCAATTTATTTTTGTATACACTACCAAAAAAAAAGTGAATATTATGACAAAAAATTGTGACAAATTATTTTGTTATAATATTATGACAATTTACATATGAAATTGTGACAAAATTATTTGGTAATAAAAATGTTACCATTTCATCATAATATTGTAACCAATTTCAGGGTAATAAAATTTTGTCACTAATCGTAGCGAATTTGTTACGAAATATATAATCACAAATATTATTACAGATTTGCAACTAAATCTAGTTACTAAATTACATAATTTTGGTGATTAAATTTAAGTCATTCACAATTATAAATGTTTTATAAGTATCTTATCACAACTAGTTACTGTTTTCATAACTTTTTCATCTAATCATAACCTTGTAACATAATTATTACTATTTTTTGACAAGATAAAAAATACATGTGAATTAAAAATAGATATAATAGAATAGCTTCAATTCTATTAAAGCCCCCTAAAAATACATAATAACTTGAAAATAATATTAAAATTTTTACACTATTATATAATAATGTTAGTATATTGCTCAAATTCATCACTAGCTAGGTAATTCTAATTTTTGTTTATAGATCTTGTTGCTGTGTATTATTAGTACAAAACAATTTGTCACAATTTATAAAAACTATTGTTCATATTCGCCATTGATTAATTCTAAATCTAAATTTAATTTTTGTATTTTATTAGTTAAATAAATAATATTGAAAGTACTTTTTATATTTATATTTTAATAAAAGTTGTAAGATGACTACAAATATATATTAAATTATTAACAAATCACAAACTTAAAATAGTTATAATTTTATAGTTTTTATTCGGAATTGTGATAGATAGTTTTTAAAATATATTTTAGTTAGCTATGTATTTTAATTAGTTAAAATAGACTTAAATCGTAAAAAACTCATTAATTATTAAATAAACAGTAAATTATACGAATGTTTGTTTGAAAAAAAAACAAAGTGAAAACTAACCAACTTTTAAAAACAAACACTTTTTGTCCCACATCGACTAAAGATTCAAAGGAAGATTATGAGATTTCCTATAAATAAGGCATTTGCTTGCCACGATTATATCACCATAAAACGGTTTGTTTGATAATTTGTCAATTAATCTTTCTACTCGGGTGATTAATCTGAGATCTGATTTATTAAACCGACTATGTAATAGTTGTGGCCGAGTAATGACGCCAAACTATAATATAAATTCTTTAAATATGTTAGTAATGTGTGTAAAAATTTATATGTATGGTGGTAAACTTTAAAAATTCTGATGTGTTATTTTGTGTGACTACAATTTAATCACTAGTTATAATAAAGTTTGTGACATTATTTTGGTCACAATTTATAGCAGACCAGTAACTTAAATATAGTAAGAATTTGTGATAAATATAAAACAATTTTTTATCACAATTTGTGACCTAATGGTGATAGTATTTTTTATCATAAACTGTATCATTTTTATGATTGTTTCAATATCGTTACAAGTGGTGACAAATTGTTACCATTGTTAATTGTCACACTATTTTGTGATGTTTTTAAGACTAAAATGAATTTGTGACGTTTTTATTGTGATTTTTAAGAATTTGTGACATTACTGTCACAATATAAATTTTGTGACAGAAAAATTATATATTATAACATAAAAATTTGTAACAATATTGAATTTTTTTTGTAGTGATACTTGCATCATTTGCATGTAGACCGAAGAATGAGTTTATGACAATTGTTTTAAATGCTATTTTTGGCAACCACCAACTTTATTATTTTTACTTTTTGAAATGTATTCAGTCCAATTTCGAAAATGATTGTATTTTTCTCATTCGTTACTCGATAGTATTTTTTAGATATCTGATCGGTAGACTCGTGTACTTATATACCATTTGAAGTATATTTTTGCTTTAACTCTAATTTCTAATTTCTCATTATTTTATTTTAGTATAAAATGATAAAAACTAGAGTAATCTAATACTCTCCTTAATCAACGAAATGGATATAAATTTGTCAATTTGCACATGTATTTAATTTATATATATTTTTTCTTCTAATCCTTTCTCTAAACTTAAGACAAATTCATGAAACTGATTCTGTTTATAGTATTTCCTGATGTGCTTTTTTCCGTTACGACTCCAACTGCCACACGGGACGAACAAACGATTTATCCAGTTTTTGGTCTAGCTTTTGCTGATTCGTGTCATTGTCAGACTCTAATAACATTCTCCTCAATTGAATAATGATGACTCGTGTGCATGTGGAGCCCTTTAGAAACATTTGTACCTTTCTAAATATGTACAAAGAGTGGTCTCTAGTGGCACAAATTTGGATCCGACTGTTCTTTGGTCTAGATTTGGTGATTTGCGTAGTGATCGTACGCAGAAATCTTTAATGGGTTAATCACAAACCAAAAAACGATATTGCAAACGCTTGATTAGCTTTTTAATTTTTTGAAATTTGAAGTTAGAGCCTACTTTCCGTTGTTGACGATTTGGGATATTATTTTCCATCTGGTAATATTTAACGTAGGTTTAACTTCTTGTGATACTGTTGATCGATTAAACTATACAAGTCATATAAGTTTTTAAAAAAATTAACATGCTATATTTGTTGGGATAGAATTCAAAATATTTGAAATATGTTTAATGAATTGAGTATATAGAAAATATAAAGTGAAACTTTAGGTCGACGACATACTGACATAGGGAAGTATGAGAAAACCAACTATTATTTATTTATTAAAAGATTTTAAGCATACTGACCGTTCTTAGACTAGAATAGTAATGTGACCAAGGAAATATGGTATATAGTAATGTGATCAAGATCTATTACAGCATCACCAACATTATTTACTTAATTATAAGATATTCAGATATGGATGCTGCACGACGTTGAATGTTGAATGTAACGAGGCGGTGATGTTGAAAGTGAAGTCGTGCCACTATCCCCATCTTCTTTTGTGTGTTTTGAAATTCTTGTGTATCTGATCTTCTTATGTTGTATTGATTTTTGATCTTGTTGGGCTGCGACCCTCTCTCTCTCTCTCTCTCTCTCTCTCTCTCTCTGTAAAATAAGCGATCTTCTTCTCCTCTTCTTCTTCTTCAACTGCCCCACGCGTTTAATTAAGAGTCGTCGGCAGATTTGGTCTAGCTTTTGCTGTTGAACGTCACCATCATTCTCTACGAATATTTCAGAAATGTTTATAAATGGAAGACACGGAGACACGGAGTTTCAATATTTCAAAATCGTTCCACTTTTGCTCTAGCTTTTTTGCTGTTTGAGTAATGACGAGTCATGTGTGTACGTGGAACAATTTAGTAATGTTTCCATGTACCAAATCGGAGAGTAAATGTAAATGGCCTCTTAAATGATTCAGTTGCGGGTCCCAATGTTGAAACTATATAACATGTGCAGATTCAAATTATTTCATTTGCTCTATTTAGTAACTGACTGAAAAAAAACCTTATTCTACTGCACGCCGTCGTTTACATGTTCGTTCAATGGGAATGTATTTTCTGAATGGGCCTGTAAATGGGCCTATGTTTAGGGTTTGCCCATCTTTTCCCAATAGTTTAATAATGGTTTAAAAGGTTTTTGGGTTATATAATATAATTGGTGGTGGTGGATGGGATGTGCAGCCTGCACAATGTTTTGAGTAATTGATTGTGGGAAGAATAATATCGCTGACAAAGATCACTGATGTGTTAACAATATTTTTAAATGAGATGCTTCAGTGAACATTAATAATGTGAATACTAGTTACATTACATCCATACATAACATTATAGTGAACTGTAACCTGTTCATAAACAAATTGATATAAATGTCCAACATGATCTATTATATTTCCGAACTTGGATTTTAAAGATAGATCATGATATCTACTATACACAAAAAAAAATCTATACATACAGCATAAACCTTTTTTTTTTTGGCAGCTGAGCATAAGCCATTTAAATGACTATACTACGATATTTCGTTGAACCAAACACACTTACACCGATAACGGTTCTTGGGAGTCTTGCGTGTAAGCCAATTACATACATATATTATATAATAAGTTAAACATGACAACTACAAAAAATATCAACAGATATGTAGGTTTGTTAGAAAGAAAATTTGTCATTCTCTTATGGAAGTATTACTTTTGTTCATATAATATGTAGAAAAGGGACTCGAAGTTGAAATGGATTCTAACAAATAGCAACAACAACAAAAAGAAGTTGAAATGGATAAGGGTTTAGGGTCTATATACACACCCACTCATGCAATCCAAGTGGAATACATGAAAGATGAGCAAAACTATATTTTAAAACACTAAAAGAAGATTTATGGTGTAGTGAGTGTGTGTGCCAACGACAACACTTCCACCTTTTCTAAAGTCAACCTTTTATATATATATATATATATATAAAAGGTCATTTACAATGGCTCTAAATTGGTCTGAACAAATTATTGGTGTATCGTGTGATAGTCGTTTTGTATTTTTGTTTTATGACACGGGTGAAAATTAGGAGATATATATATATATATATATATATATATATATATGTCTTCGTGGAAATTTGTTTGTGGATTTATATTATCCGAAAACTTCAAATAAATGGTGAGAATTACAGGTGTTTTAAAAACTTCAAAAGCAATTGATGATAGTGTGTTTTTAAATTTTAATCAGATTTGCTAGATCAAAAATCTAAAGTAATAACTAACCCTACAAAGGTGATGTGAATATCGTAATTGGAGAAAAAAAGTAGATTCATATAAATTTAACAGTACGTTTATAAAAATTCATACAAATAATTAATATAGCTAGCTCAACCAATCAGAATTTAGCAATTACGATATAGTTAGCGAGTAATTGTTGTATTTCTTGTACGGTAATCGTGTCAACTGGTCGAATTATGGCAATTTAGGCACGTAATTTATCACTGCTAATAAAATTGTTGTCACCAAACCTTTTTATCATTATGTTTTGACCTTTTTCTCATATATATATATATATATAATGTTTTGACTTAGATGCATGAGGTCATTTTGACATCGAAATAGAGTCATCCTTCATCACCGATTCACACCATCAACCTTTTCGACATTAAGTGGGACACTTAAACCTACTTTTCTTCAGATAGTTTTATTTGCTTGTACTTAAACCTACTTTTCTTTAGATAGTTTTTATTTGCTTGTACGGTGTTGATTAAGATAGTTTTAGGCATCAAATGCGTGATTACTTTTTAGTTACATCTTTTGATATCAAAACCAAAATGACAATTGTTTCTATCAATTATATGTTAGAACTTTCAAATCAGACTTACATCTAGCTAATCGATCTTTAAAGCAATCTGAATTTAAATCAGATTAAACAAGTTCGATTTGAAAGTTTTTGGTTAATTCAATAAATATATGTTGAACTTTCAAAACTGATTTAAGAACTATACGTTGTTTAACTAAAAGACAAGTAATATAACAACAAACTGCTTTTTTCCAAACGTATACACCAAATAAGAAAAATCGAGTTTAATTATTTGGGACGACTTCGATTAAATAATGAAAAGCATTGACATGGAGAATTGAGATAATAATTGTCAACGTGAATGAACCTGGTCAAGAAATACCAAACTTTGCTTAGTGTGTAGAAAGTAAACGCCAACTTTGGTTATAGACCCCAAAAAAGTCTTATGCTTTCACATTTGAATGAAACTCCTTTTGTGGTTTTGGTAAAAACAAAAAGAATATTAAAACAAAATGAAAAAATAATAGATAAATGTTAGACCAAACTAAAATAATTGGACTCTGTATAAAGTCAACCTCACGATGTATAGTGGTTTCCGTACTTCAAATTCCAGAACCACGATGTATAGTGGTTTCCGTATTTCCAGAAACACATATCAACCGACGACGACGACTTTCCCTCCTCTATATTACCACCTTTCAACGTTTAACTACCTCAAGATTACAAGTTAATCATCATATAATTTCTATAAACCTTAGAAGTTATACTAATTAGTGGGAGTTTAAAAACGGTATAATACCTAATAATCCGTCTACTTGTAGTTGTAACAGTGCATACCTTTACCCATCTAAATCACTTATTTTCTTGTTTAAAACATTTTTGGTATCTCTGAATTTAAATCAAGCCACTATGTCTTTAGTAGTATGAAATGATCATCTAGTTGACATTGTTTTAAACAGAATGTACTTGAGTCTATGTATAGAGAGCTTATTGTGGAACCAAATTATGCAACAAATGAGTAGTCAATAAGCGATGACAAGTCATATAACTGATGACATAATCGTCTATTTTCTTTTTTAAAACAATTACTATCGTCAAAGTCAAACCTTATATCACCTAAAATATACATAACGTTTTTCTCGTTCGTGTTCAACAAAATTGCACTACGTCACATGTTACTCTCTTTAATCGTCACTGTAGTTTTCGGTGTAATCGTCTAAAACGATGTCGAATCAATTGTAATGTGGCCGAAGAAATGGGTTTTCTTGTTATTATAACGAAAATTATCGTTTTTGGGTACAAAGCCATCTGTAAGATGATCATCATAGTATAGAATTATATTATCTTCTTCAAAGAAGTTATTAGAGTAAAAATAAAAAATGTTGTCCTCAGTGGAAGAATATTCCAAGAACAAGCTGTCTTCTTGATCCCAGATCCAATTCTCAAATCCTCCAACTTCGTTTTCCTCCGATGACGTTGCTTCAACGCAATTCACACATTCTTCTTCATCACGTTTCTCTATCTCTCCGGTTTCGTTTCCCCTAACTTCGATCCAACCGTCGTCACCCTCCTCCGCCGTAATCCACTCTGGCTCGCCGGAATTCTCTTCCCCGGCGAGTTTCTTGATTCGATCAGCCAGTAAAGAATCCCACATATTCGAAGAATTTGCGAATGGGTCTTCGTGATCCGCTTGAATCAATGGACTTCTCGAGGTTTCGCATAAATCCCAGAAACCTTGATCCAACACAGTACTAGGAGAAGAAGAATTCAGACAATCACGGGACTGAGTTTGAGATTGGTCGTCTTTGTCTTCTTCGAGAAACGGGTGTTGAAGCAATTCTTCAACGGCCCATCTCTGCTTCGGATCTTTTCTCAGACATTTCTTCAAAAAGTCTTTACCTTTCTCCGATAACCATTCCGGAATCTCCGGAGACTCACCGGTGAAACCAATCTTGTAAATCGCAGCGACGACGTCGTTTAGCTCCGGCCAAGGACTAAACCCAGTAGCCATCTCAATCACCATACATCCCAAAGCCCACACATCAGCCGGAAAGCTCTGTTCTTCACCACGCGCCACCTCCGGTGACATATATGCCGGTGTACCGGAAAATTCCAAGTTCCCATTTTCCGCCATTTTAGCACAGCCCAAATCGGCGATCTTCGCAGTTTCTCCTCCGATCATAACATTCTGGCTCTTCAAATCGCAATGAACAATCCCTTGGTCGTGAAGATACATCAAACCTTTTAATATCTGACGCGTGTAGGATCTAATAGTCGGCTCCGGCAACTTCCCGCCGGAATTCTTGATCAAATCGTGAACACTCCCGCCGGAAATATATTCCATCAGGAGATTATACATCATTTTGTCCTTCTCCGTCGTTATATTAGACCCAATGTACTTGACAACGTAAGGAGAGCTCAAATCCGACAAAATCGTTTGTTCTCTCTGCAGAAACGCCGATGAAGAAAACTCAGCGGATTTGACGGCGAAGAATTCACCGGAGTTTGTGATTGCTAGTGAGACAGTGGCGGTTGAGCCTCGGCCTATGATTGGTCCTCTTATCCAGTTTTGTTCCTCCATTGGAGCGGAGGAAGAAAAACAGAGGAGGAAGAAAACAGAGGAGATAGATAGAGAAAGAAAGTTGTAGAGAGAGAGAGAGATCTCTGAGGTTTTAAATGTTTAAGCAGAGAGTTATGATGTGATCATTTATATATATACACACTCACACAACACAACTCACGATTATATATGTATGTGTGTATGTATATGACTTTGGCATGGGGTTTTGGTGTCTTAATTCAGAGTCTGAACAGAGATGACATTCTTTTAATCTTTATTCTTCTCCTCCAATTATTAAGCACCAAAACTTTACCTTATCTTCCACTTTAATTTAATTTTAGATTATTGTTTTCTTAGATCCAGTACAGCCGTTTAAGTTCGAATTCAAAATGCGAGTCGTTAAAAAAGATATAAAAGAGTGACTTGATCATTGGTAAGTTCTTTCATTAAAAAAATTAAAAAACCATGACTTAATCATGTTCTTGGACATATTAGCATAAATTATATAACAAAAATCGAAACCTCAAATATTTATAAGATATTTGAAATAATTTTTTTAATTACATTTACTTTTGGTAAGAAGATCAAAAGAAAATTTTGATGATTAGCTATTTATTTTCACCTCATAGAAAAGCCATGAAGAAATGTTAAATTGTTTTTAGTTGGTAGAATGGCACATAATTCAAACACAAAAGTACAAATGGAAAAAATATATATACTGAAATGGATAATTGCCCATGAAAGTTTCAATCAGTTATCCATCAGATATACCATTAGATTTAGACATAATGTTCTAGTTATGTTTAAGTTCGTGATAAGAACTTATGATTGATAAGTTACAAAGACAAGATCTTTAGTTAAGATATGTGACGTATGCATTGCATATACTCCTAGTTCAAGTGATTTTTATGACATTATTCACTTAATAGAGTACAATTTTGTATTTTTTAGAAACTAACCTTGCATTCGGTTTATATATATATTTTTAGGCGGATTCATTAAATATAGATATAATTAATGTTGGTAAAAAAAAAATTCTTTTGACGGCACGTAATGTGGTAATTAAATTTGGATTCCATTTTTTAGAAAACATTCTCTAACTTATTTGATTGAACCATATTTGAATATATATATATATATGCTGTCATATTATAAATGTTAGGTTCTCTAATTGTGCGTAAAATATCATAGAACCAAAATCACAGAATGTTAAACAAGAATTATTTACTAAACCACAAGTATAATTTGTTCTTCTAGTTTTTTAACATCTAACAAAACCACAAAATGTTGTTGAACAAAAACTATAATGCTGTATTCTAAAAGTTATGTTATCATCAATTTTTATGTATGTATACATATATCATACATGACAAAAAACATAGAAATTTGGTGGAAGCACTTCCTTTTCGTGCCCTTTTTATTTATTTCTCAAACATTTTGTGTGGCAGAGCAAATGGAGATGCGTCTTGAGTGAATCTAGAAACGTGGCAGAAGATCATTGGATGATGACAGCTTTGACGGCATGACGCCAGACTGGACGGCGCCGTAACTTCGAATCCACCAATAAGGGGAAAACAAAAGCACAAACAACCTAAAAAACAAAAGAAGAAGTAAAATATGCGGCCACGTGGTGGAGGCACAAGCTAAGTGCAGGATTAGCGTGGGATTAACGTATTAGTTAAACCGTTATTTGCTGGGGGATTTGCCCATGTCTCTACATCTACCAGATTTTTATACCTAATATATTACTCTAGTAAAATTGAAACTGGATTATAAATTATGGTTCACTGCTCTATTTGATTCACTACTCTATTTTTTTAACCCATACGTATATATTAGCCACATTGCACTTATTCGTAAATTTACTGCACCGACCGTATGTGTTCGGTCGTAATCATTTTACAAAATTATAAAGAGCTGCTGTAAAGTTATATGGTGACAATAATAGTGTGAAACCACGAAAATGTGAATGTGGTGCTTCGTTATGTGAAATGGCTTTAATTAGAATGCAAGCTGTGGGTTATATATGTAAGAAGATTCTAATGTATATATAGAAGAAGCAAAAAAAGTTTGAAAAGGATGAAGATGGTGTTGGGAAAATTTATTCGCATAACTACTTTGCTTTGAGAATACAGTTGGATTCAAATCGTTTTATTTTTGTTTAATTTAAAATTCTAGATCCTATTTTTTTAATAATTGGGATTAATTGTTTTTGTTTTTTTCTTTGGCTTTTGGGTGATGGACGGCTAAAACAAACGCGGCTTCATACATGTGACTAGGATCTAAAAGAAAAGGTTTGAAAGCGTGAAGTGAAAAGTGAGAAGTAAATTCACGATATGTTTTTAATAGCGTTTCTTCAAGAGACGTTTCCTTTGTTACATATTCGGTTACTATATTATTAGTTTGGTGCATGTTTTTTCCGTTGCAATTTTTTTGGAAACGTAAAAAGAGAGAGAGAGAGAATTCAGTTTATTAGGAATTTCGTTAATCTAACACTATTGTCAACAGCAGTTTTTGTAATTTCACGTTGAAAAGGGGTGGTAAGAAGAGTTTGAGTATCAAAAAGAAACGATTATTGCATTTGTCAAAAACAGACAAAATGAAGTTACGTTAGCTATATCAATCGAATGGTAGACTAGTAGCATCAGGCGTTTAAGAAATCTAACATTTGTTCCATAACAGTTACATATTTTGGGAGTATCGTGTACAGTTTTAATAGAGCCCTATTGCAAACAAATCTGTTAACGATGGAAAAAATGTGATAACTAATTTCTAATTAGCGACACGGGTTTCTTCATTTTTCGTTTTTTTTTTTTTTTCATTTTGTTGGAATATACTTGTTGTCTAAAACTGTTTCTTTGTTTATTTTACCCGGATTTGCTTCACCAGAGATATTTTAGAGGCATCTTACTTTTTGATCGATTTGAAGGTAAACCCTTATAAGCCAAAGATTCTTTAGCACTCATGAGAAGCTGAGAACTATGTAAACGAGTCGGCGTTGAAATTTACGGTAAATAAATACAAAAAGCAGAAAAAGATAAGGGTTTGCGAAAATAAAGAGCAGCCTCCAACAAAGCACCAACCAATGAAATTCAAGAAAGATATATAAAAGTTGTAAAAAGAGAGATTCGAACCCAAAAGGGATGTTTTTCTAAGAGTTGCCTTTTCAATCGAGAAGAGGGGCTAAGTAAGTAAGGTCCGTCCAATAAAGGGTGAGCTTCAAGTAATGCACTATGACATTGACAAGAATTTATAAAAAAAAATTTTAAAAAAACTTTTCTTTCTAGAGTTTCTTTCTTACGTCAACAAACTCACTCTTAACTTCATCCCTACTTCCAAGCATCTCAAAGAGACGGTCCTTTACACAAAGGCATCGCTTTATATGACCTTTCATGTTTCTAGATGTTCACCGACCATTCACCTCATTATCAATCGATCAGACCCTATCCACATTGTCTTGCCCAAAAAATGTATTTTGATAGTCAACGAACTTACAAGTAAAACTTGAGATGGTTTGTTTTGCGGGTACGGGGTGTTATCTTCAGCAGCAGTTTTAAGATCCGATTTTGAAACAGTCTCATCTTCCATTGCTTTCGATCTCATGTAAAGAAGAAGAGTGGTTCATGTTACTTAACAAATGCAAATAAAAAATAAGAGAAGTTGTGACGCTTTGTCAAACAAGAAACTTGGGATTTGTTGTTGCATCTTGGAGGGAACCAGAATACATAAGGTTTGTTCTTTGTTCTTTTAAGTAGTTCAATTGTTTGTTAAGGTTTAATATAGATTGGAATCTTCTAGTGCCTTATAATATTGCTAGAGATATATCTTTACTACAAGATTGGACTGAATGTAATTCTTATGATTCTTGAGAGTATGCAAATTATGTGTTTGAGTATACTACTTGTTTGTGTCCGTTTTCTAGACACATTGATTAATCTCGATTTATACGAGAAACCTACCTAACTGAAACACAATCTTTCAAACAGAGCATCAAATTAACGAGATTATTCCAGAGGGAAGCATTTGTATAAGTGTATGTTCCTTTGAGAATAACAGTACGATTCATTTTGTTCAGCTATGTATCATTTTCACAGGAAACACTAGAGCTTGATAAAACTAGTGGAAATGTCAACCAATTTTGCGTTTGGATATGATCAGGTGGTGCAAATGATAAATATACATTATATGTATGACCGATAGTAATTTAAGCGTTTACTTTTGCTTGACCGATAGTAGTAATTTAAGCGTTTCTTGATGAGAGAGCAAACGAAATTAAAACTGAAGGAACCAAAGAAACCATTTGTTCCAAAAAAAATGGTTTCATTACACTTAAAGAAACCATTTGTTCCCGTAGTCTCTCGATCTAGCTAATAATGTCTTCCACATGTAAACGACACATGAATTCAAATTATTTCTAAGATCAGAAGAGCTTACATCGGAATTTTATACTTCTTATGGTAAACTTATAAATGGTAAACTTATAAAAGTCTTCCTAAATTCTGCTGTGTTTGTGTCTACGACGGGAACGACTGTGATACTCATCATCCGAGGAGCTCTCATACCTATGCCTGTCCCGTGAATGTCTGTCCTTGGAAGAGTGTCGTGTCTTATGCTTATAATGCCTATCATGCCGTTTTCTACTTGAACACTTCTTCTCAGTCTTGGTTTCTTCTGTAACCACCTCCATGCTGCTCTCTTCACCGTCTTCTTCTCCTCCCATTTCATAATCTTCTTCATCTCGCCGTGATCTACAGCGGTAGTTCCTCTTTGATCGTTTTTCACGGTTACCATCATCTGCTGCTTGTTTCGTCGTCTCGGCTTTAGATGGATGTGAGCTACCTTCTCTTTCTTTGGCAGTATTACAACCTAATCCAGAAATCCCAGAGTCCAACGGTGGTTCGACTGATAAGCTCCGCGGTGGTTCAGCTTGTTGCGCTGGCTGGGCACTGGGTTTTAACATGGCCATAAACAGTTTTGCACGTTTCAATCTTTCTGCCTGCAACTTCTGCAACTTCTCCAACTTGGACAAGCCTGCTTCTTCACAAGTATCAGCTTCACTAGCAGCAGGAGCTGAGCCAAACATCAGTTGTTGACCCGTAGACGAAGTATTGCTTCCATCATTTCCGAGGCTCTGAAAAGTCTCATCCAAGGGTTTGCCTGATATAATCCCTATCTGAGGATTCCTTATGCCTCTTCGAGCGGCTTGTAGAATAGCAGCAGCAGTATCCGCATCTACATTGACCCTCATCTGTGGTTCGACGGGCTTGAATGATTCCTTTTGTAACTCAATCTTCGGATTGTCACTGCACATTTTTGGTTTTTCTTTCTTTTTAGATTCATTCGGTGAAACACTCCCACGGGCCGTTTTGTCATCTTTTACATCATTGCCCATCTTCTCTTGCTTCATGCCTTCCTTTTTGGTAGTATCGCCTTTGTTACATGATTTTAACTGCATATGAAATCAGCGATTGTTAGTGATAGTTAAAGTCATAAGGTTTAAAGCACATGAAAACACACAAAATCTACAGCAGGAACATGTAGGAGCTTGAAATAAAAGTACCTCTTCAGCTTCTTGGAGAACCTTCCGATAATATGCATGGTATACGCTAGCTGGACGTAAGAATGGAAACATCCCGAACTTAACATCCTGTGCAGCAAGAGTAGCCTCAAGTTCTTTTCCGTTCTTTTGGATGAAGTCAACTATCTTATCAATCGCTCTTTTCATCTCAACAGGCGGCTCCACAATCTGCAGTTCAAGCTTGGGTTGTGCCAGCATTGCAGAAGATTGAAACTTTTCAGGAGTCAAAAGTTTTTCTGTAGCACTATCTTCTGTTTTGATCTGCTTCCTCCCTACAACATTTACTGCGCTGACAGAAGGATTTCTTTTAACGAAAGGTGCTTGACCATTCGATGGAAGAGATTGCTTAGAGGCTGCATCCCTCTCTGTTGCAATCTTTGCAGCTTCTTTTGACCCTTCAGGTCCATTGGAATCAGCTATCTTAACACCACCATCACCTTCCGCAGACTCGTTTGTTTTACAGTCCTTTGCTGACTCTTCTTTAGTATCTTCATCTTCTACACTCCCATAAACCGAACCAAGCAAGGACAAAGCTCCACCATCCTTCCCACCTTCATTTTTTTTATCTTCTACAGAAGACTTTCCTGTCAAAAGCTCTTGATGTTCAACAAGAAACCTAAAGTAAGGATGAAGATGGTGGTCTGGCATCAAGAACCCAAATGTTGGGTTGCCTCCTTGTTTGACTCTCAAGACAATTTCAGACTGCCCACCATTTTTGCTTACAAAACTCGAAGTCCTTGCCATGATCTGATGTAATTTCTCAGTTGGGGGCTGAAAGAAAGGACAGAAGAATGTAAAAAGAATCAATTAGTAATGTGAAATCTCATAAAATGCCTGGTTTAAAGGCATGGACCTCGGGCAACACACAAGTATATATAGATACTGAAATCTCACATAAGTATAGAGAACCAAAATTGCAAATATCAGAACTGTGTAAATATGCATCATCTGATGTGCACTCATATTTTAGGTCATGTATTTCTGTCATCTTAATCCCACCTGCACCGCCCCTTGCCATGGCAGCAAAAGGAAACAAGGTGATTGTGAATGACAACCTTAGACAACTCCATCTCGTCTCCGAGCATCTGAAACTTAGACATGGTAATCCTTAGAATAACATGTGCACCTTTCAGATGTTTTTACATGGCCATATCAGTTAAGTACCCAAATAAGTGACCAAAACCCGCATGTTTCTAAAGGGAACAATCTGCCCAAAACAGTAACTTACCAGGTGTTGAAGTAAATAATCAGGCACGGTGAAAGGCGGTTGAAACCCAGATTCCATATCAGCAACTCTCTGCTCACTGAAATCACTGACGCTTCCGTATGAGTAGGGTACAGCACGAAAACCATCCGCATTTGTACTTACTGGTTCATCATTGATATCTGGCGTGCAAGAGTGAAAATAGATATGATCAATTTTCTGAATACAAACTGGAGAGTAAACAAAAAAAAAGGAACATGGAGAAAAAATCATTCCCTAAACCAAAGTTATGATAGTTTCATGCTATTTCCTATTCAGAATCTGAGCTCAATGCAGCAATTTGATTCTGATAGTTATGATAGTTTCATGCTATTTCCTATTCAGAATCTGAGCTCAATGCAGCAATTTGATTCTGATAATCAGAAGAACCAGCAAGCATCAATGTGCAGCTATGACTAAGTTGCATACTCAACACGAATGGTTACTCTATCTTTTCAATAAACATGCTAACACAAATCCAATCTCGAAAAGGCAAAACCAATCAAGTATCGAGCTGATATTGATCGCTATCATCCTATAGAACTTTTTATCTCTAACATAGCTAAGTTCGATTCTCTCCGCCAATTAAATAAGCTAAAAGATAAATGGATATTTCAATGAAGTTCATCATCCTTACCGCTCTCATCGTGCGATGGAGATAGAGATTCCGCCGGCAAATCGAGATAACGCTCGTGATCGAGGTCTGATTCCAAGTCAGGATCGTCTGAAATCGTGCGGCGGCGCTTCGGACGCGGAGGAGGAAGAGAAGAGAGGAGGTGACGAACATCGTACCGGTCAATAAGAAGGCTGTTCCAGTCAACGAGCGCCGTCGGGGAGTTGACAAAGGTTGCCATCGAATCGTCGTCGAAAAAGAGTGTGTGACGACCAACAATCACCAGATCCATTGATAATTTTGATTCGCCAAAAAAGCGAAAGTTTGGGATTTCGGAAGAGCTTAGGGTCTGTGAAATTGGAATCAGATGTTTTCAGACTTTTGACCCGGAGAGAGAGAGAGATGCGTAATGACCTTCAAAAGAGATATGCTCACTAAAACGATGCCGTTTATCAATCTTTTTACTGTCGTTTGAGAAGAAAGAAAGCGTTTTATTTCAATAAAACAACGTGCATTCTTTTCGATAGGAAAACCAAACCGGCGCGCATTCTTTCCGCAAAACGAACCAGGTTTTTGTTTTCTTTGTACTTTTTGACCCCATACTAAATAAATCTTAAGTTTTGCCCCATAAACTTAACTTTCGAGTCTCTCCATTGCATAGTAACAAATACAATCTGTTTTGTACTTTTCTTCTCCATTGCTGATCAGCCTTTTTGAAGGAGTTAGAGTATATTTATTACGATTTCAACATCACCATCTTAGAGTATATGTATTACGATTTCAACATCACCATCAAAGACTAATAATTGGTACGTACTATTTGTTATAGAGGTTATAGGAGTTCCAAAATGATGACTCGCAACTGTTCTGGATGTCTAAACTCAAATCCTCCAGAAAAAAATTGGATTAACAATTTATACGATCCGTTGTAAGTGGATTAACAATTTAACATGTACATTAGCTGAAGCAAAACGTAGACCTGGACCGGTTGAAACCTGAGGCTTAACCAATGGAAACAAACGTTTGGTCACTTGCAATAAATTTTGGGACTAAACTAAAAGTTGAATAAATATTCGAAAGGGAGCATAAAATGTAAAATAATACTACTAAAATTATAGTATAAAGGTATCCCCCTTAATTAGGCAAGTAGTCATACGAATCTCTCGATTGAACAGTCTACATCACACATTGTTTTCACGAGTTCCAATAACAGATACTTAATTCATACAAATTAGTGTGCATCAATCAATAGATTAGTATATTAATGTAAAAAGAAGTTTGCGCTTGCGCGTGGCTTAATATATAGTTAATGCAACAGAAAGATATCGTAGAGAAACAGTAGATTATCGTATAGGTCAGCCCATGACCAATACGCAACAAGGGAACGGTGTTGACTTTTCTGACGTAAAGTTTGTACATCGTTTAAAAAATTGAAAGCAAAGGGTTGACCTCTCTCCACATCTTTCTTGAACTATAAACAAACATTGAATCTAATTTTTGTCGACGTCTTTGACCAGTTTATTAGTCAAGATTTTTCTTCTATAGTTCGATGTATTCACACAATTCACTAGTTTGGTTTACTGATTGATCCCGATTCTCGGTTCTCATTTATATTAGTAACAAGTTGCTATATGCATGTTGTTCAAAATTCGATATAATAACTGAAACAATTGTTTCAAAATCTTTCTCTTAATTGTATGTTTGTGCAAAAACATACAATTAACAAACCAAAGTTATACTTTAATGGTCATAACATAATATACATCACAACTCAAATTTCGCTCCATATGTTTGATCATTGCATTTATTGGATTCTTCTTAAATGTAATAAAGTTTTAACATGCATAACTCTGCATATACTAAACTGAATTTTAATTTTAGATCTTTTATCTAAGAACTTACTATGTATATATATAAAAAAAAAACAACCTCATTTGTCTCTTATTATAACTACTTTGTAACGTATTAAATCAATTTGACTAAAGGAAGGTAACCTTAGCAAGCTCGCTTATACTTCTCCAAACAAAAACTATTATTGTTTTCAAGTTTTGGCTTACGTATTCTTCGGTTTAATATTTTATTGATACAAATTACATACAATGTAAAATGGCCTTTCATTATATTATAAAAATATGTTCGTGGTTCATTGGGCGTATGAGGGTCGAATTTTAGAATTCAAGTTAAAGCAAGTGTCTATTAGAGGATGTATAGCTTCAATTTGCTTAATTTAGAAATATAAATCAGTGGTTCGTGGTTTCCACGACAAATAAAATCAATCAATAAGTAACTTTAAAAAAAAAAATATAAACAATTATGAAAAAAAATGGACGCCTTTGCTTCTCCTTGCATCTCGCCTTAATCGTCTCGGACCGTCCCATGAGGCTAGGAGATGAATTCAGCCATGGTTCGTCACGCATACAAACGTAAATTGTCTATTTTACCTATTACTTTTTTTTTTTTTTTGTAGAGCTTCTATGCGATTTTTTCTTGCTTTGTAAGTTGACATTATATGGTTTAAAGATTTTTTTTTTTTGCTTCTTTTATTTGACCAAAAGAAAAGAAGTTTTGTTTCCAAGTTGAATAAATCGGAGAACCATTATATAGAATAATTCTATAGATGTAAGTTAAATACTGATCACCATGGAATTAAAACCATGAATTATATAAAACGTAACGTTGAAAACCAACGATTTTAAATTCAAATACTTCACCACAAATCAATTCAACAGTATATTCCAATCATAGGTTTCTTATAGCAAGTTAGCAACACATTACACATTACTATTTACAAAGGCTACATTACTACAATATTATTAGTACGATTAAAAGTAATATGCTTTGCTTTCATATATCACAAACAAGTTTTCACTCCAAGTAACCCCTTCTAATTTCTATTATAAACGCGTGTGTGTACCTCAACGTAAGCAAATAAGCATGTGCATGTACCACAAAAATAGTATACAACTGAAATGAACATAAAATAATAAAACGCCCCTCCCGAAAAAAAAAAGATCGATCGCTTGAAGCTTTTCGTCACCTTTTCACCACATCTCACGCGTCAACTCGTCTAGATTCCAACTATAAACCCTAAGTCCACACTCTCTTCAATTTCTCACAACACAATTTCTCTCCATCTCTCCAAATCCCCTCCTCTCTCTACAACACCCACATAAACAACAAAAGAAGAAGGAGGCAACCACAGAAAGAAGAACAACCTCTCTCTCTCGCTCTAACTCACAATCACATCAAGAGATAATGGCCCATTTCATGAAGCTACTCGTGACAATTGCATTAACAACCGCAATCACAATAGCCATCATCACCACGACCATCAGAACCACGACCACGAAAACATTTGCTCTCGAAGATCCTCTTAACGACCTTACACCGCTAGAAGCGGTTAAGATCAGACCGAGTCGGTTCTTGGCACAAAAAGTCGACGAGGGTCAGGGTCCAAAAGCCCGTAACCCAAACGCAGCTGATCATTGCAACAAGGATCCCGAGATCTGCAGAAGCAGCTATTACAGCACCGGAGCAAACTCTACAATGGCTTGTTGCAACAACAAATGTATGGACTTATCAGCCGACGATAAAAACTGCGGTGCGTGTAAGAACAAATGCAAGTTCGGGCAAACCTGTTGTCGCGGTCAGTGCGTTTACGTGGCTTACGACAAACGCCATTGCGGTGAATGTAACCATCGTTGCAATGACGGCGAGTTCTGTGTCTACGGTCTTTGTAACTATGCGTGATGAATCCAATCATTCGTTCACGTCACAGCAACTTAAAAAAAATAAAAACTGATTAAGTAAAATTATATACGGATGATTTATTTACATGGACGCTAATTAAAAAAAAAAGGCTCGGTCCAATTAATTAATTACTTGATAATTAATTGTTGTGTGTATTTTTGGATTCCCATAATGTCTTGAGAGGTATATATAAAAAAAATAGATGATTTTCTATTTTTAATGTCTACGAATAAAATGGAACATCCTCGTTTCCAGTACTATTGCTGTTTTTAATAAGTTTACATAAGAGTGTGTCATTAGGTACACTCCAAAATAATATCATGAATAATGTTTTCATACATAAAATAAAAAGAAAGTCTATTTTCCCTTATCCCTAATTACAGATAAACATAACAGTATAAAATGTATATATATATATATATATATATATATATTTTTTTTTTTAAGGCTCAAGAAAGTCAAACAATTAATAAAAGAGAATGTAATAGAATTAACACAACAGTTTGCAGTTTGAAAAATAAGGAAATAGAAAAGTTCAAATAAAACAGAGTTTTTTTTTAATACAAATACGCTGCAATGCAACCATCTGATCCGTGACGCATACCCGCAAGCAAAAAACGGGCACAGAAGCGCAAACTAGTCCACATAATCAGGTATATCGGCTTGACCTCTCTCAGCTGTTTCTTGCGCCGTATCCGATTTATGCTTTTTGAGAGGAGGAGGAGGCGTTTCTTCGGCCGCCGCAGAGATTTGGCGACTTGGCAAGAAATGTAGGTGATCTAACAGCAATCCTGGCCATTCAGGGATATCTGGTTTGTTGACACTCTCAGTCGGAGTGACTAAGAAAACAAAGTAACGGTACTCGTCACTCATCCCTTCAAGCCGATCGTAGAAGTAGTCCTCTCTGAATTGATCCGAGACTACGACCACATTTACAACATCAGGAACCTCCGCCTCAGGAGAGCCGATTACCAGTAAAAGAATGTCATTCAACATTCTATTACGTCTCGAGGCCCCGCCGGGAAGAAAGTAGATTCTGACTAATTATATTACACAGTTTGTGACTAATTTTTAAATAAACTGTATAATATTGTATTCTATTACGGTACTCGTCACTCATCCCTTCAAGCTGTTTGTGACTGATTATATTATACAGTTTATTATATTTTAAATAAAAAAATACTTTTTTAATATTTGTATAAATATTTTAAACGATTTATATATATTAAAACAGAGAAAGTAATAAATTTGAAATTGGACACACACACCGAAGAAAATTAAAAGTTATATATAAAAATAGAAATTTACACACGTGAGAAGTAGGCTAAAATCCAAATAGATGACGCCACGGAACCGACCCTCCAAACGGCGGCTCCGGGTGGAAAAGCCAGTCATCGGGTCAACCCGGAAAATGACAACCGGGTCAAACCCTCCAAAGAAATGAGAGAAATCGACAACCCGTTTGTTTATATCTCTTTCTGACACACACACACAACACGTGATTCTCCTTCTCTTTCCTTTGTTCTCTCAAAGTAGAGTGATGAAACCCGCATCGAAAAATCCGTACTTGCTCTGAAATTTCCGAATTTGTTTTATATTCTTCGGCGAAAATTTCTATCTTTTGGGAAAATTCTGGGATAATTGGTGATTTCATCACGGCTATATACGGTAGAAATTCACGGCATTTGAGCTCTCATGTCCAACGGAAGGGTTGTTTGATCGTAACTAATCCTTCGCCGCACGGAGGACGTGGAGCTCTGCCGTCTGAAGGCGGCAGTCCTTCAGATCTCCTCTTCCTCGCCGGAGGCGGTTCCACAATCAACCACTTTACCTCTTCTCCTTTTTCTTTCTTTCTAATTAGGCTATTTAGTTCTTCTTAATCTGTAAAAAAACTGTTATCTCGGGAAGGTTCTTGTTTTTTTGTTTGCTCTTTCGGAAAATCTCGAGAATGTTGTTGAAGATCAAACGGGTTCCAACAGTCGTGTCGAATTACCAGAAAGAGGAGGCTGCGGAAGAAGGAGGCGGATGTGGTCGGAATTGCCTGAGCAAGTGTTGCATCAATGGTACATGTTGCATGAAAGATCCTTCTTTTGTTTGAATTTGGAATATGGATTCACAAATCTTTGACCTTTGCTTGTTTTCAGGTGCAAGACTTCCTTTGTATACCTGCAAAAATCTCGATAAATCCGTCGGAGTGAAGCCAGAATCTCCAGTGACGTTCCTCGAATCCTTAGTTCTTGGAGAGGTAATGTACTCAGGAAGCTCTCTGTTTTGTTAACCAATTCGTAACTGTTTAAGTAATTTATCAAATTCTTATGTTTTTTTCTAGTGGGAAGATCGGTTTCAAAGAGGACTTTTTCGCTATGATGTCACCGCCTGTGAAACCAAGGTAAAAATTGTCTCTTTACTTTATGGTTGGTTGATTTACAATTACTTATCGGGTCCAAATCCGTGGAGATGTTTGCTTTAGCTAAAGAATCAAGTTTCAGTTTCACATTGTCGATGTTTACTTGAGCTGAAGAATCAAGTTTCTGTCTTCACATTGTCGATGTTTACTTAAGCTCAATAATCAAGTTTCTATCTTCACATTGTTGGTTTTTGCTGGTGGATTGGTAATAGGTTATACAAGGGAAGTACGGTTTCATAGCGCAGCTAAACGAAGGTCGTCATCTCAAGAAGAGACCAACCGAGTTCCGTGTTGATAAAGTTCTTCAACCATTTGATGGAAGCAAATTCAATTTCACCAAAGTTGGTCAAGAAGAGTTGCTTTTCCAGTTTGAAGCTGACGACGACGACGACGACGATAGTGAAATCCAGTTCTTCCCGAACATGCCTCTAGACGCGGACAATTCTCCAAGTGTCGTTGCAATCAATGTAAGGATTACTTTTGCCTTTAAGGGTCTCTTTCTTTTGTTTTGCTAATTAGTCATTGAACTCAAAATTATTTTTATTTGACAGGTGAGTCCGATTGAGTATGGACATGTGTTGCTGATTCCTCGTGTTCTTGATTGCTTGCCTCAAAGGATTGATCACAAAAGCCTTTTGCTTGCTATTCAAATGGCGAGTGAAGCCGCTAATCCGTATTTCCGGCTTGGATACAACAGTTTAGGCGCATTTGCTACCATCAACCACCTTCACTTTCAGGTAAACCGAACCAAACTGAATCGAAATTAACCGAATAGCATAACGCTTATATGTGTGATTGCAATTTGAATGGAGATTTTGTTTTCTTGGAACAGGCTTACTACTTAGCAATGCCATTCCCAATCGAGAAAGCTCCTTCACTGAAGATCAGTACCACCAATGAAGGCGTCAAAATCTCAAGACTCTTGAACTATCCTGTGAGAGGTCTTCTCTTTGAAGGTGGAAGCTTCATTAAAGATCTCTCTGATGCTGTTACAAACGCATCCGTTTGTCTTCAGAACAACAACATTCCTTTCAACATTCTCATCTCAGATTCTGGAAAACGAATCTTCCTTCTCCCTCAGGTTAAAACTTTATAACATATAGAAAAAAAAATCGATTGATTTTGATCCCTTTTTAACGATTATGTTTTTTTGTTGGGATTAATTTGCAGTGTTACGCAGAGAAGCAGGCTTTAGGGGAAGTTAGCTCGAAGCTGTTGGATACGCAAGTGAATCCAGCGGTTTGGGAGATGAGTGGTCACATGGTGTTGAAGAGGATAGAAGATTACGAAGGAGCTTCAGAGGAGAAAGCATGGAGTCTTCTCGCTGAGGTCTCTTTATCTGAGGAGAGATTCAAGGAAGTTAACACTATGATCTTTGAAGCAATCGGTTTTTGTGGTGAAGAAGAAGAAGAAGAGCTTGATGAGAAGAGTTCCATGGATGGTGGCTTCATAAGAGCGAATTGTTGTCCTTCAGTGAAAGAAGAGGCTGTATCTACATGAGAGGGCTTCTAAAAGCTTTTATAAAACATTTGCAAACTTGTGTTTCAAGTTTTCGGTTTTGTTGGTGTGTAATGTGTTTTGTGAATGACTTGGCTTCACAATGCATTTAAAAACAGTGTTTCAAATCAATAAAATTGATATCACACAATTCATTCAAGGTATATAGTTCAAGTGTGTTTCTCTGTTTCATCAAACGGAACAACGTGTGGTTTGGTTTTCCGACTTAACCGGGATCGGATTGGATTGGGTTGGATCAGAATGACATTTTCTTAATCAAATTTCGGTTCCAGGGTTTATTTATTATGAGGTTACATTGAACCCTCTGAGCGAGTGAGAGGGTCTGAAAGCCTTTTTCGTTGGGCTCTAAATCGGATCTATTGGAGTAGTGAAAAGCAAAGAGGCAAGAGCAGACACATTCCTCTGCATCAAACTGTTGACGGAGGAAGAACAACTCCATTAACTCTCTAAGCTAATACCTTTACTCGCGTAAGCGCTTTTTAACCTCTCTCTTTATACATTTGTCTATCGTCTTCATTCTGGGATGAACTTTCACTTTTCATTCTTAAGATGTTCCTTCTCCAGTAGTTTTTCTTCTTTTCTTTGGATTCCCGTTTAATTTAAGCTAAACCACTGATCTAAGTGAGAGAAACCCAGATTATGTTTTCTGAGTTGTATTGGGTTTTTAAAGCCGTCGAGAATGTGTGTCTGTTTCAATGACCAAAGACACGCGTCGAAGGTGTTCGATAAAATGCCAATAAGAAATCGGTGGTTTAACACTATGGAAATGTATCCACATTCAATTTTTTTTCCCTGTCTGGCTAATTACATATCTGTAATATTTTGCATATGGACATTGCTTGGTTCATGAATCTTTGATAAACCTTGACAATGTTCATATATTACTCTGTTTATTTAGAGATTCATCGAAGGAATGGTTTGTTTTTGGTTTTTGTAGAGTTGGTGGACAATGAAGAAGGGAATACACCCACAGATGCAATGGATCTCTTATGTGACACAGAGCGGTAGATTGATGCACGTGATGATGACAAGAATCCACCATGTGGGCAAAGTCTACCACTTTGGAGCTAAGCGCCAAATGGCTCAAAGCATTGGTCAGATTGCCAAGTTCAAGCGTAGGTTTAACTTGCAAGAGGAAGAAGCAACAACCCAAGAGAACAGCAACGAGAACCAGAAGAAGTAACTGTAATCCAGCTCTTTTTTATCTTTCCCTTACATTTTCCTCAAAAACCAGTCTGAAAAAGGCTTTTTACATTTTCATTTACACTATGTGTTGCTTTCGTTTTCATGATTGAATTTCACAGTTCTTGAGTCTCACTGTTTCGTCAATAAAAAGCTTATATTGTTCCCTTTTTGGCCATGTGTATTAATTATGCTATGAAAATTGGAACAACATTATCATCTATGAAAACTGAATCATTCACTCTTTGTTACATATGACGGATTCAAAGTACAAAGTATCATAACATCTAAGAAATCACCATGTAACTCAAGACATGGTTTACATGACATAACTAGTGATACCTGTTTCAACTTCAGACATTTGGAGCGCATAGCTGTTACCATCGTCACTCTAGTAAGTGGGGAAGTTGGGGTTGACATCAGTTGCCCAAGCCTCCAGTCCTCCGACTATATCCTTAGCTGAATCGAAACCCGATTCACGAAGATATTGAACAGCTCTCTGTGAATCATTCCCGCGCCTGCAAACAACGTAGACGCTCGGATTTGTGCAAGAACCGGTGTTAACATGGCCATCTTCCTTTTCTTTCAGAGCTGAAGTAAGCTCGTTTAACCGAGCCTCCAAGTTTGCAAAAGGGATGTTGAGTGAATCAGGGAGAGAGACAATCTTATAGTGATGAGAAGGTCGAACGTCGAGAAGAACATGACCTTCCTTCTTCTGAAGGATTTCTTTGAACTCCTTGCTGCTGATTCTTGATTCTGCAGGAAGTAGCTTCAACGGGCCCTGTGATCAAACCGATGCAGGGTAAAGAGAGATATGAGACTGTTACCGGAAAACAAAATAATGGATGCGTGAAAAGAAAGAAACAGAGAACAATACCGCAGATAGAGGAAACTGCGTGAAGTCCTCATAGTCAAAATCCTTGAAGAGCTGCTTACTGAAAGATGAATTGTCTCCACAAACTGTGCACTGAGCTGATTTGCCTCTGATCTTGACCTGTGCAGACACTATACTCAATCAGTTTACGAGGATGGGAATCCAGTTGAGTGTAATCAAGAAAAAGAAAGGGGATGAGTTAAACTTTACAATGCGGATCCTTGCTGATAAAGCGTCAAAAAGAAGCATCCGTTCAGAGAGTGGTTCGCCCACCTTGCTCGCGAGTTTTATCGTCTCTAGCGCTTGTAGACAACCAATAACACCAGGAACTAAGGAGACAAAAACAAAAACAAAAAAGAGATGAAAACATCCTTTCAAGATGAGGAAACTGGTAGAGACTCGCTTGCAAAAAGACAAACAAACACCGTACCTACTCCAAGAACCCCGCTATCAGAACATCTCTGGCACGCTGTTGTAGGTGGAGGAGTTGGAAATAGACAACGGTAACAAGGGCCTCCTTTGTGATTATAGACGGTAAGCTTGTATACAAAAAATCAAAATAACAGCTTAAGTGTTTAAAGTGTAGCTTAACATCTATACAAGGAGTAACACAATAAATTCGTTTTGACATAGTACATACCTGCCCATCCATTCCAAGCGCAGCACCCGACACCAAAGGCTGTTTTACAAAACACTCGTCAATACTTTCTGACAATGACTATGACTAAACATGGAAATAAAAAAGAAGACGCTACTTCACCTTTCCTAAGAGGACACAACAATCGCTGATCATGTAACGGCTTGGAGGATTGTCGGTTGCATCTACTATGATATCATATCTAATTTTCGGTAAATTACGGAAAACAATAACCATTTCAATACTCTACTTGAGGAGGCTAATGGAGAGAATGATACAGAAAACTGAGACTTCCTATAGCATATTTCACATATATCTAAGGATACTGGCTGAGGATTTCCAAAGCATTGGATGTGCGGAGAGCTTCCACGTACTCATCAATTTCGATTGTCGAGTTTACTCTGTAGATAAAAGTAGAAGGCACAGTGATTAGACCAGAAAGAGTAGAAGTGGGCATAAAGCATATTAATCCTGAGGGAGTTTGAATTTACGAGCGACAAGCAGCAGCAGCAGATTTCACTTTGGGGTGACCAATAAACGCTTCAGTGTGTATTATCTGGATGATGATAAAAAACGAAAACGAGAAAGAAATAAGCAAATGGTAGTCCCTTTTCAGTGTGTATGGTTACCAATAAATACTTCAGTGTGTATTTTTCAAGTCGTACCTGCCTATGCATATTGTTGAGTTCTACAACATCGTGATCGATAATACCCAATCGACCTAAAAGAATAAAACCGAAAATATGACCAGCTTATCAAATTTAAGTGAGAGCCAATAGTCTCTGGATGAAGGAAAAGGCATATAGAGACAATACTATTGATATATATATGTAGATAGATTTTGAGGTCTGAAACCATACCAAGACCACAAGCTGCGAGATACAATAATGCAGGCGAACCTAGCCCTCCAGCTCCAATGACTAATACCGAAGACTTCAAGAGATTTGACTGCCCTAAAATCATACACACACAGCAGAGAACAGAACGGGTCAACAAAGATTGATCTGAGAAAGACATTAGCAGAGTAAACAAGCAAGCCTGATATCAAACAAATGCAGATATCCACAGAAGAAGCAACAAACACAATACAGATCTGTCTCAAAACTAAGCTTCAGAGTAGATATCGTAATAAATGCACTCAAACTTTTCATACACTGTTTCTACTAAATGCTCTAAGGAAAGTCACAAATGTAATCAAATCAATCAAAAGTTATCATCTTTCAGCTCCATCATCACTAGCTACAGAGCTGACACCATAACTTTCTGTTCTCATCACACACAAAAAAAAGAGCCATCCATATCGCGTTTTCTTCCTAATCGCTAAATCAATTCAAAACAGAAACCAGAACGTAATAAGAGTTTGCATTTTGACTGTTTGAGCAAAGTACCTTCAACACCAAACGAAGGGAGTAACAATTGGCGACTGTAACGGTAAATCTGATCAGGAGATAGACCGTGGTCAAGCCCGTGTTCAAACGCCGGCGATGTGGGAGAAGAGTGACCGTTAGATACGGCGTCGCACCGTTCGACCGCCGCCGTCTCTTGGAGCTTTGCTTCGAGAGCCGAGATACGGTGCTCAATTTCCGCCTTCTGGAGCTTTAAATCTTCCAATTCACGGACGATTTCCGACGAATCCCCACCGCTCGACTCCATCCCGGCGAATAGTAGAAGAACCCTAGAGCAGCGAAGAGGACGATGTTAGTCAACGGGATATACGTTGACTGCATTTAATGATGCGTAATTTTCTGCCCACGTGTCACATAACGGCGTATTTTTTTTTTTCTATGCATCCTCGAGCGGACAAAAATACATCTGCTATGTGCTTTTATTTTTCTTTAATACTTATCTATATTTCCAAAAAGGAAAGAAGTTGCAAAAAACCATCAAAGTACAAAAAATAAAAATGCAAGATCATACAACTTTCAACTATTGTTGAACTGCAATATAAACCACTGCTTTTTACAATGTTTGATTCTTCCAGTTATTTAAAATTAGTTTTCCTTACCGATTAATATTTTGGTGGCTTTGTATAAAAAAAAATAATGTATATATTTTGGTGGTGTTTTTCTCTAACCAATCATAGAATATAACGATTACGGCCCATCAAATTAACACACGTAACAGACACACGTGGCATCATAATCATAATTCCGTCGATGAGACATCATCGTCATACATCAATTGAGTAGTGGATAAACCTTTGATTCTTTGAAACTCATAACTTGATCAGAAAACTCCATATCTTTACGGTTTGATCAATAACCTTAGCTACAACGAGAAAGTATGTTGAGAAATTATGTGAACCCAAAACTAATCTCCAAGCCTAATAGAAGATCCTCGTGTCTTTACTCTCTTTACCTTAAGGTATATTTGTTTATATCCTATGTTTATTTTTATTTTCACGAAATAACTAACCACTACATATAATTAATTGTGGGGGGGGGGGGATTTTCTCTAATATGTATAGAGAGGAAGTGCGAGCGGAGGAAGGGAAGAAGGACGAGCTCCTTCGACGGCGGAGGAGTTCACGAGACAAGGCGTTGCTAGCCAGACGGTGGAAAAGGCTTACGACGGAGCAACGGTAGCTGCCAACGTCTCCGGTGATTCTGAGGCGGAGATGGAGAAAGTGAGAGAGGAGTTTCAAGAGAAGGAAGAGGGTAGAGACTACCACAAGAAGGGGAATGATGATCACGATGATGGTTTGCCTATCAACACGTCTAAAGGAACATGATGAAGGCATGCACTTTGTTAGTTTGTAAAATGGAGATTATATATATATATATAATATGTTTGTATGAAATAATATATGTCGTGTGCTTTTGTAAATACAAAATCCCTATACATGTTGCGTTTTTTTGGTGGTGGGGCAATCTGCTTATTTATAATTTAGTTTTTCGTGTAGTGTGTAAGCTACACTTCAGTACTATTGTAGTTAAGAAAATATTATTTTGGTATTTTTTTAAAATAGTCTATCATTTGTAGATCACTAGTGAAGCCATGTATTTAAAGGAATATAGCTTTACTGTTGCTATATCATAGATTGTTTTGGATAAATTATGTTATATTGGTTTACTTGGAAAAATAGCTGACATGTTAAAGCTGGACCAATAGCTAGAGAGTCCCCTTTATCTATTACATAGTAGATTTGTTTGTTATTATTTTTCAATTAAAATTCCAACACAACTCTTGTTCTTATAGATGTTCTCAAAGCATAAGACGGTAAGAGATGCAAATAAGAAGCAAAAGTCACTTAAACATCAAATGAGAAGCAATCATCACCATAAACGACAGAGAGGTTAGTCAAAGTTACACAAGCTTAATTTTGCATTACAAGAACAAGATAGGATCAATGTAGAAGCAAATGCTGGTTCATTCTCCGCATCTTCTTCCATTATCCACCTGTAAAACCACATGCCTTAATTTCATTCTGATTATTGGATCCTTTCGTTGCAATTTTAGTCAAGTGTATGCGATCACCAATCCTTTCAGTTTCATCTCAACTAGTTCGAACTATAATTCAAAAAATGAACATTATAATTTACAGGAGAATTAGGAGTTAATATAACTAAACCAACAAAGAAGTTTTTTAGAATTTGTCAACTTCCAGTTTAATAGTCAAATATCATTGACTTTGTAAAACTCCTTGACATACGTCAATAGAGAAGACTTTATTCATTTTTTTTTTTGGGCAAAAGACTTTATTCATTTACAAATGAAATTAGTCTATTATTGAGGAGAGGCCGAACTTTATACTTTAACGATAAAGTCTACATGGCACCTGAAGAATTAGTGGGTTCCAATTAAAGCTACAGATTAAAGTAATGACAATCCAAGGAATATTAATTTTGTACTTAAAAAAAAGTCAAACAGGTCAATGATTTGTATAATTGGATTCATCAAATGGGGAAAGTTTCTGGTTAGCTATGGTTTTTTTTTTTTTTTTATCTTTTAGCACAAATTAATGGTTCTTATATATAATTTTAAGTAAAATAGAAAAGATATTGAGAAATTGGTTCTTGGACTTCAGGAACCAATTTTTCAATATTATTTGTTTTTGACTTAAAAGTATATAAACTGATAAATTACGAAATAAAAATACAATGATGTACTTTGGCTACCAAAGAGAAATCTCAATATCTATTAAAACCATTTTTTTTTTTAGGAGCTCAGCAACAACATTCCTTTAGTCCCAAGTTGGTTTGTAAGACTAATAAGGTTAACAAAATACATAGATTGGCTCCCTCAGATTCATCATTCTAAGTCTAATCTCAATTCGGTAGGATGCAAATTGTTATCTGAGTTATTATTATCAGTTTTCGTTCATCAAAACTGTTTTCGTTTATCAAAACTGTGTTATGCATTTGTATGAATACGTCTCAGGATATGCCTTTCAGTGTTCATCAATCGTCACCGGGGTTGCAACTGGTTAATTAGATGGTTTTAATCATTATGTTTTTTTTTTTATCGGTTTGTGATTCAATACATAAGTGAAGGAACAAATGCAATTAAAGTGAAGAAACAAATGCAATATCAAACGAAATACTCTATTTTCTTGGTTGCAACTTCAAAACTCGAAAAACAATGTGGTACTTAGATAGATATAGTCTGTTACACTAACCGATGGAATTTTACTTATGAAATATAAAAGCTTATAATTGGGTGAATGCATGACCCTCTGACTCAATTCCAAACACTTACTCTAGTCCATATTTTGAGGTGGAATATGGTAAGGGGCCGGGTATCTCATAGTGCCACTTACGATGTTCAGATCATCCAGAAGAACAGTTGCGTATTCGTAGGAATCCACAACTTTGACGCTGTTAGAGAGCATGCCAGGGAAGGAGCTAGCAGGGACACAGAAAGGTTCATTCTTGGAGATGAAAATGCAGAGATCTCCGATGTCTTGAGTGTAAACGGCGTTACCTTCATCGTCAAGCCTGAACACCATCAAACGTTCTGTTTTCATTCTGGCAACACCTTCGACGATCTCGGTGGTCTTCTCGTACAACTTAACCAAGAAAGTCTCACCGGTTGTTCTTGACTCCACCAAGTGTTCGCTCGTGCAGCACGAATCCAGAAGCTCTCGCGTGGCCGTCGGCAGCCTGGGAAGGTTTTGAAACCGCAAGCTCTGCAAGTTGGGGTTATTGCTGTCTTTGCAGGGATCCCATGAACCGATGAGGTGTCCTCCAGATCCGGGGATGCGAAACATGTCGTGTTTCTTGGAGAACATGACTCGGGAGGAGTAGAATCAGGGGTTTTCGATCCTGATGTTGGTCCACTCCGGTTTGTTCGCGGGTCTGCAAAAGCTGAGCTGCGGTCCCAAGAACTTGACAGCCACGACACAGTCCTCATCCTCTGGAGAAGAAGAGGACATGGCCACGTTGGTGACGATTTGGGTTTGGCAATGAGGCAGAGTCACAAGAGGAGGCAGAGGGATGCGTTTCGGGTCTATATCGGATGCAACGGGGTTTAGATCGTCTTGGAGACGCAGGATCCCGTCGTCTTTCGTAGTAGCTACCCAGCCATGAGATGCCCCGATCGTTACCAATGTTTTAAACAGATCATTGAACAGCAACTCCGGAGGCACTCTCTTTTCCAAACGAGTATAGTTAGATTCATTAGCGTTCCAAATCACTAGTTTTCCAAGACCCCATCCCCAGGGTTCAGCGCCGAAGATGGAGCACGGAGGAGTTTGCCGCAAGGAAATAGAGAAACCATTGGAGAGAAGAAGAAGAGATGATCTTCTCACCAACGCAGGTTTCCCAAGGCGGCTGAGAAGCAGAGACATAAACAGAAATGTTCTTAAATGAAAGCAAGATATTCCCTAAAAGAAACAAAGCCCTAATTGAAGAATTGGGTAATCTTCTTCACCACTAAAAGCCTCGCCATTAATACAGTGGATACCCTTGCCCACCAAGTTTTTTTAGCCTTGCCCACCAAGTTTTTTATTAGTCACATATTCGATATTTATGAGTTTATTTGTCAAGTAAATATGGAAACCAAATCTTGCTAAAACAGCTGTTTAAATTGTTTGCACAAAAATAATTGGTATTTGTCTCGTGCGTAAAACGACGTGAAGTTTAATAGATAAGGGTCTAAATGGTATACAAAGTGTAATAAAAATAAAATAGAACTAGGTAATAATCCACACCTTATACAAAGTGAAATAATTATTATCTATTATAACTCAAGAATATTTTTATAAATTAGAAATTTATTTAAAGCCACTTAGTAAAAAATAACACATTTTATATGATAGAACAGATTTCAATATGACAACCCATTATCAAAAAAAAAGATAGAACAGAAAATAAATGACAAAAATATAAATCATATTTGTTATGTGAACTTAGGAATTATTTGGTTCTGATTCAATTCTCTGTAACTTTAAAACACATATGACAATATTAATGTTGGTAAACTACCAATACTCATCTAAATTTTTTTCCTAACAAACTTGATTTCATTTTGGATGTGGATAATTGAATAGATGATAAATTGTAAGTTGAAAATGTAGTGTATACGTAATATAACAAAATATCAAATTTAAGATGTAATGAATATAGTTGGAGTTTAAAGCGTTTTTACTATTACTGATTACATTGAAAATAATGTAACATATAAAATTTATTATAATTAGATTCTCTGTACAAATATTAATGTAAATTAAAATATATGTTTCCCTAGCTTATATATATATTATTTTTACTCTAAATAATTTCTAATATTAATGACTTATTAGAAAAAAACTAGATGAGTATCTGCGCATCGACAATATAATTTGTTAAAAAGTGTAGGTACAATTTATTTTATCTTATATTTAAAATTTTCTTAAAGATGTTGTGTATTTGAATAAACATACAATAAGTATTTACATATTATGTGGATATTAATTATATATGTGATAAATGGTTGATTGATAAGGAAATGTGAAATATGTTATACCTTGTATATATAGAATATATTAAATGGATACTGCAAATCAGAGAAGTACTATATAACAAAAATTAATTAGAGAAATTCTTCAAGCATAATATAGGTAGAGACAACCCTTTTTAACAGGTCGTATTTGTTTACAGGCAGATTTACACAATAGCAACACCGTCGTTTTATATTTTTATTAGCTTAAATAATTGATTTATAATTCTAATTTATACAGCTCATTAAACATTTTATAAATAAATATATTAGGACTTTGATATCTTATTAATTTAAAAATTATTAATGGATCAAATTTGAATAAAATAAATTATCAAATAAATATTAGTTTATAAAGAAATTATTTTAAAGTTTATTATAATATTGTACAAATTTTTTTTCTAACTTTTTTAGGTTAAAAATATCAAATAATTGTTATTTTTATATTTGTATAATTGTTTTTATAATAATAACTTATAATATTAATTAAAAATAAAAAACACTCTTAAATAAGAAACATAAATTTTTTTAATATTAAGCATATTATTGTTATTGAAATATATTTTCCAATACTTCATATTTTTCATATTCTTTTAGTATAATGATTAATAATACATTAAATTTATGCATTAAATTTTATATAATCTGTTTCATTAAATTTTTAAAAATGACAATAAACCAAAATGATGAGGTGTCACTTATATGGAGAGAGTTAGCCATCTTTTATAGTATAGATATCACTACCATTTATACTTAAAATATTTGATTATGTATATCTAAATTAACAAAACAATATTAATTGATAGATTAGTAATCAATAATATTACTTAGATCTAAATTAAATTAGTGATTGCACCATAAATTAAATTACTTGCATTATAGACATATATCAAACACAATAGATTGCATTCTGATTGAAATTATTAATAAATTCAATTAGCTCACAATTATATTAAATATTAATTATTATTTATTGTCTACTAAATTTTAGGAAAAGTCTAAATTATTGAATTATTTTTAATTAATTTATTAGATCTAAATTTACTACTGATTAAATTATATGTATAATTACCATTTATCAAATTTAATAGATGCATTTCAGCAAAAGAAAAATAAAAATAATTAATAGATAAATTTTGATTAAATTATTAGTTAATTCATAGAGCGTTAGATAACAATAAGATTTGTTTTATAAATAAATTTTCAAAAAATGAAATTGATTGTAATATCTTAATATTATTTTATAGGAGTATAATTTTATAGTTAGATTTGTCTCCAAAGACCAGTTATAAAGATATCAGCTTTTAAATAATGCAAATTATTGTAAATTTTAGTTTTAAATACTAGATATTGTAAAAACTCAAATTCGAGCTAAGAAAGAATTAGGATTTTGAGGGTTTTAAAGAAGTATTTTATTAGAAGAAGCCGGAGCTTGTTGAATACAACGGTGTTTAGGTCGTCGGAATAAGAACGCCGACCTAAAACTCTTAAGAAAAGTAAATCAAAAGTCTAGAATATTTTGATTGCTTAGTTTGCTCTAGGTCTTGATCAATGATTTTCGGATTGATTGAGAAGTCGATGACTTCCTATATTTATAGCCGATCAGGTCGGTCTTCATCCTGTTCGAAATAGGAAACTCTCGTCGGCAAGGAGTTTCCTTTTTCTCCGGGTCGCTTGATAAATGGAAGCTTTCCTTTTATGTTGCCGACCTGGGAATTGTTTGATGGGCCGACTAGAATTCATATCGGGCTTGTTAGAGACAGTACGAATCTCATCTCTAACAGTAAGTCCCCCCCCAGTTCGGCAAGTATGGATGCATTGCTTGTCGAATTTAGAGAAATGCTGTCCAATATGAATTCTGGTCGGCTGCAAAAGAATTGGAAAAATAAATGAAATTTATTACCTGGATTTCTGATCGGCGCGGTGATGAGAGCCAGATTGTGATTCTAGGCGCGAGAAATTCCCGCCTAAAAGATGATGTAGACTAGGCCTAGGCTTGCGCATGCAGGACTAGGGTTGACACGTGTCAAACCCTAGCAGATGAAGATGAAGAGGCCGATTATAAAAAAAGTAAGAAATGTGAAGAGTCGCCGAGCTCATGATGACTCTCGATAACCGTCCAGACCTTCTTATAAATAAGAGGGACTCGGCTCCCGTTTCTTCACTTATGCGTCTCTAGCGAAACTCTGTCAAAATCAGGTTTGCTCTTCTCTCTCTTCTTTGTTCTTATTTATTTTAGTTAGAAATCTTTCCGATCAGACCTCCGCCGTGTTTCGTTCTGAGCGCCGCCTTTGATTTCTCCGATTAAGTGGAAAACCGTCACGATATCAGATATGAGTAAGTGTGTGAAGATCTGCGAGAGCCGACCGGAATCGAGGGTGATTGTATCGGCTAAGGAGAAAGCTGATGAGAGCAGTGTTTCTCTAGAAGAATTTCTTCAGATGGAGAGAGACGACCAGGCCGTAAGAGACAGATCGAAAGGAAAGCGGATCGTCGTTGAAGAACGGGATTCAGATCGGTCTTCTGATGCAAGTGAATTATCCGCGTTAGATCGAGCTTTTCAGGAGCGAGTCAGGGAGGAGAACCAAAGAGCAGCAGCCGAGCGCTTTCACGCCGATCAGGTCGGGGCTATTTTAGGGAGTGGAGAGGCGTCGACTAGGGAGCCATTCTTGATTCCGCAACTAAGAGATGAGGAAGACGTACGAGGTGGATCAAATGAAATGGATATCTCGGACGAGCTGAACACTCTTATCGTTGAAGATGAGGTGAATCAATTTGGCATCATCGATCTGAATCCTCCAGTCAAGAAAGTTAAACGGAAGAAAGGGGAGCCAGTTATGAGACCGATCTGCGACAATCCCCTGGGAATAATGCCGACCAAATCGACGATGGAATCGTTGGTTTCTCTGAAAGAGGAGTGCGACATCGGCCCTGATGTAGTGTTTATGGTGCCGAGCCCATCGGAGCGACCTTGGGATGCGCCACCAGGGTGGTTCTGCGTCTACGAGTGTTTCTTCAGAGAGTTCCATCTGTGGTTCCCACTCCCGAGACTCCTGCTTGAATTCGCCGATCACAAAGAGATGCCGATCTCTCAGTTCTCTCATTCTACCATCCGCCTGATAGTGAGTATGCTGGTGATGTCGATCAAGCATAGGATTCCGTTGAGCCGTGCTGCGTTTGACGCGATGACTAACACTAGAAGGACCAAAGAGAAGCTGCGGAATAGGAGTTCGTACTACACCAGTATGAAGAGCAAGTTCAATATAGTCACTGGTGGCCACAAGACGAAGATCAATGACTGGAGGGACAGATACTTCTTTGTTTTGATCAATGAGTCCTCCATCGCTGATAGGGATGTGCCGATACGAACGAAATGAGCAGAGGTCATGGGTAGAAAATCTACCCGACTTGATATATAAGAGCCGTGAATTGCTTCGTATCGTCGACTGATTCCCTTTTTTTTTTACAGGAAACAGACATCTTCCTATCGTCGATGATCCAGTGGATATTTACAACATTGCCGAACGATTCTCGAGGATTGCTGCGATAACATGGCCTGAGATCACCGAAGAAAGGATTGTCAAGACCAGAGGTTAGTTTAATTTGCCAGGAGCTTGTTCGGTATTTGACGATTCCCTTTTTAATATAACTTTTTTTCATTAGCTGCGCTTGGACGATACTCCCGCCGTCAAGAAAAAATGAAGTCAGTCGCTTTCAAGGATTTATCGGCCGATCTTGAGTCTATCCTCGGATCTCCAGTTGCCAAAGAACCCGATAATGCCTTCCCGGTTGTTCCTTCTCTCGAGGGCGATATACCCCAAGCTATGATAGCGAACGACCAGCATACTGGGCAAGATGCAGCCAAGGCCA